ACAGACCCGGTTAGTCTTCGTGACTAGTTGTTGGTCTTACATTTTGGTAAGACAGAGATCCAGCTTTGAGTGTGTTCATTAAGTGGCATGGCAATAGGAGGGCCAGTCAGCTGGCACTGGGACCGAGAAACGATGCCTCGTGGACGATGTCGACATGAATGTTTTCGGGAAATCAAACGGACTGATCTTTACCGTCGTCTTCTAAAAATATTTTGATTACACACACACACTCTCTCTCTCTCTCTTTTGAAATGTAGTTTACCACGACCCAGTTGATACGGTACTTTAAATGAGTCTCGGTTTTGGTGAGTGGAAGTCGTTTTGGTTGCGTTTGGCAAATGGGCACCTTGATGACTGACGGTCGACGAGATAACCAGTCCGAAGAAAAGCCTAATCAACAAAGCTTGCTCAGGCCGAGGTGGGAAAGACAGTTGGGTTTCCCCACAATGGCCTGACAAGGCCTCAGGATAACATGTCTAATCAGACATGACCAAGTTCTTATTCAAGAATTAGCGATAGTCCCCTACACTACTTGCATCTAAAAAGAGCAACCGGGCTGAGTGAGAAGGTGATTTGTTGCATGGCATAAGCCTCGAGGTGACAAAGTCTCAACTCACGCCTCCTCGATTCGAGTCTTCTCTCTCTGCAGATTGGCAGTGCAGCCAAGCCCTTTACAATATAAACTCTATACAGCCTAGTTCGTGTAAGGTTACGAAAGACTAGTGGTTGAAGTTTTTTACAATCGGAAGGTTAGCCCTTCTGCTTCCATTGTGGTTCACATATCCTTGCTTCGCAAAAGATATTTTTATCCCGGCAGGAATAGACTGCACTTTCGATCTTGCCGGAACGGGCCTCATAAACACCCCCAGCGGGACTCGAACCTGGTTTACGGTGGTGCAAGGCATATGGAAAAAGGCATGGCCTTTATTGAAATCCACTTCTGCTTTGTGACTCAAAAGCATTTGTGGCAGAATGGTGCAATGGTTCGAGTCCCGCCGGAAATGCTGATGTGACCTGTTCAGGGGACGTCAAAACTGCAGTTCATTCCATCCGAGACGAGAATTACTTTTGCGTAGGAAAGACATGCAAAATTCAATAAAGAAATGAGGTCTACTCATCTGTTTATGGTAAAATGCAATGACCTTTAATTAAATATTGTGAGCACAATTATTATTTAGAAACTGTATTAACGAAAATGTCTGTCTTCCTTGTGATAAACCCCTCCTTGGAGACGTTTAGTGGTTCCACAGAACAAGACCAAATGTGTTTGTGCAATTTATGTCTTCTTCTCCGTCTTGATAGTATCTGCCCTGCCACAAATCTGCCTTTTTTTGTGTCTTTCTACCAAGGCTTCGGCTTCGGAGTGATGATTCTTGACGGGTTCAAGATAGCTGAACGCTGGGAGCACACGGACGAGGACAACTCCAACTATAGCATCCTCTGGATCCCAAAGCATCTGGTTCACTTCCTGTACATATTTTGGCAAACCTACTTCATCTTCAAGTATCACAGAGTAAGTCTGACCACTGTTCTCGATCAGTGCAGTCCCAAACCCTCACAATTTGGATGGTTTGCATGATTCGGCCGACGAATCCGGCAACACTATTCGATGATGCCAGATTCGAGCCGGCCTGCCATGTCGACGTCCTCACATGTTGCAGTTTGTGGGCATATGCCCTCGGGGGTTGTCTTCTCACGACCAACGCAGCAAGCGGGAGTGACGGAATGTAAGGAAGGATGAGTTGATCCGAAGACAGTTAGTTGGCGCTAGAAATCAGCATAGTCTGGAGCTTCTCAAAGGCGTTATGCCATCAGAAAGGGTGTCCACCGGAAATGTCCATCTCATAAGACTGTGACACCGACGGCACTGACTGCGACGGCTTGGACTAAAATGATAATAATAATAATAATGATGATGATGATGATGATGATGTGTCTGTAGTAGTGGAAGCGGAGGTCAACGTATGTATTGGAAGTATTTCAAGGCAACTGTGTGGGATCGAGTAAAAGTAGTTTCTTGTGACTCTCTTGATTTACAACTGCCTAAACTACTTGCATTGCGAATAAAAGACGAAGGCAGATTCTCTTGGGCTAACAGTCGTTTGCGCATGCGATGAAAGAGTGATGGATGCATTTTCATACAGTCAGGTGAGTAAGTCTCACGTTCCCTTCGAATTTCACACAGCCTTGCTGCCAAAAGGTTATTCTCATCCCGGTGTAGGCTGCATTGCTGCAACCCGGGTTCGAGTCCCGATGAGAGTGCTATTGAAACCAGTTCAGGTGAAGTCAAAATTGCATTCCGGTCGGAATGAAAATACCTTTTAGGAATTATTGATGTGTGAAATTCCCTGGAAACGTGAGGTGTTTTCATATAATTGTGGGATGACTACAACTATCAATTTTTCATCATCTTATTCGACGTGGCTTGAATACAGCTCTTATTCAAAATGTATTGGTAGTTTAACGACCTACTGGCTTGACTTGAAACTTGTGTTGACGTCGTTTTTAAGGCAATCTTCTTTGATTCCTGTAATAACGTTGTTAAACTTCGTCTCCAAGGCTCTACGCACATCTACATATACATATATACCCACATACACACATGAGCTCATTTACCTATGGAGTGTCAAATGGATCAAACACATTGTTCTTTACCTCATGAAAATTCACGCTGTTTGAATAGATACACTTGGGTGGGTCCTTCTGAACTTTTAGTTTGAAGAAACCGTAGAAATAAGTGGTGTGTTCACTTTATTTTGCTTAAGGTGATAAAGTACTGGCAGTCGAATTTTATGACAACGATATTAGTTGACCTTAACTTTTCATAGAAGTTCACATAGCTTTGTTTCCCATAAGGTATTCTCATCCAGACTGGGGTGGACTGCAGTTTCGACTTTGTCTAGGTCTTATCAGCATCCTCAGCGGGAGTCAAACCATGACCGTGCATGTTGACCACTGCGTCACATTGCCAGGGGTGCCCTTGGGTCACAGAGCAAATGTGAATTTCACGAAAGGTCAAACATTTTCATATATCACACTCTGTGGTGTGATTATCGATGAAGCAAAGATATGTTTGTTATGGCGATCAGCTGTGTTATTTATTCGTCATTTGTAAGTAAGCTACACTCTCATGGTTCGAGTCCCGCTCGATGCGAAGTCGAAACTGCAGTCAAGTTCAGCTTTGATGAGAATACCTTTTGGGAAGCACGGCTATGTAGACTTCAATGTTTACTTAAGGTCTACTTATCTGCTTCTGGGAAAAATGGGCTACCTTAACCTTCACCTTCATCACCTTAGGTGGAATGGGGCGAATACAATTAATGTATAACTGGTCTACTGATAGTCTCGAATGACTACTTACGAATGAAAATCCGTAGGACTGGTAGCCCATTGTGATGATGCCTGCACCGGAAGCGGAGGATATTTCTTCGAGGAGAGTGTCCAACTAAAGGCTCCAGTAAAGGCAGAGGACAGCTAGTCAAGAGGAATCCACCATCATCTTTCCGTAGAACCGGACCTTTTGAATCTTTTCATTCAACGAACTTTAAGTTGAAATGGAAGGGAATCTCAAAAGACTGCGCTGTTCTGAAGGATTCCGTGTTGATTTCTGGAGCTAATTTTTCTGTTTTTTTATGCCAAACTTCAAACTGCATGGTTTTTCACCAGCTTTCTTCGGCTAAAACTTAAATTCGTTGAAGATGCGTAACTTGGATCTGAAAAGTCTGAATGCTACAGGAAAAGTGTAGATAAGGCCACGTTTTTGATGTCTCTTCGTAGACAAGTCGCTCGCAAAGTGGTCCTCGGCCGGTACCAAATGCGAGAGATGGTAGAATGATCTATTGGGACCCGCCGAGTTATTTTTTTCGTAATTGTTGTGCTTACTTCCATTTCGAGTGAAAGTGTTTGGTGAATATTTTTGAAGAAGACGACGGCGGATTCCTCTTGACCAGCTGTCGATTGGCTTTACTGGAACATTCATGCTGACGCTGTTTTCGAGGTTGATCTGCTTCGATTCCGGTGAAAAGGTGCTAAGCTTTTGTCCGTCACATGACGAACATCTTCAGAGCAAAGTATCATCGTCACAACAAAATTCAGGCTAACGAGTCAAGAAAACTCACCGGATTTGAAGGAGATTACGTCGGAAACAGCGTCAGCATGAATCTTCCAGTAAAGCCAATCGACAGCTGGTCAAAAGGAATCGGCCGTCGTTTTCTGGTGGAACCGACCTGCGAATATCTTCACCCAACACGTTTAATCGAAATGGAAGTAAGCACAACAATTATGAAGAAAGAGATTCCTCGAAACGCAACTTTTCTTTGCATATATTTACTTTTTTATGTTCTAATTAAACGCCTCGTCTCTTCTGACTCCCTCTCTTTCACACACATTTTATCCAGATTGTTTTCAATGTGCAAAAGTTCTTCCTCCGCTTCCTCCTGAGCCACATGGCCGTGGCCAACCTCTGCCAATGGCTGAAAACTGTAGTGGAGGAGATCACAGCCGAACGGGCCCACGACTCAGAGACTCCTCATTTTGAGGGACTCCATCCGCCGGCCTCAGGCTCGGCTGGTCACCCGAAAACCCACTCGGAATGGCACCTTCCGAGCAATTTGCATCACACTCAGCCGTCGTCCATGCTCGAAGCTGCCTCAGTAACGGCAGTCAATTCACCCTCGAACCATCTTGGCAAGCAAAGTGTCATTTGAAATGTGCATAAGCCAGTAACGAGACGAAGCTGTCTCCAACTGAATAAGGCTTTTAATTAGTCTGGGTCAATTCAACAAG